ACCCAACAGCTGGGTTAGTCCATATTTGACCCAAAGTTGGGTTGAAACAACCCAGCATTTTTTAGAGTGTATATATAAAAATTTTTTCGAATAAAGTTATGCATAGTTCTATAGTATCTTATATATATATAGAAGACCTACACTCTAAAAAAATGCTGGGTTATATTTAACCCAGCATTTTTTAGAGTGTAAGTAGTAAGATATATGATCTATATAATTTTATGTATATGAATGTATGTATAACCACCGGGGTTACAGTCACGACGACCCTGAGATTCCTACACTGAAGGTCTGAACTGATGTTGTTACGCCACTGTTTATGTAATTTATTTGTTTGTTCTGAATATCTTCAGGGCTATGACACGACCACAGGAAATTAAAATCATGCTGATGAGACCAACAGCAAATTGGCGAGTTCAACAGTTCAAAAAGAAATTAGTTTTCAAATAAAGTAAATTTAAGCATTGCAGCATTCCTGCCAACATACTGTTTTGTTATTGAAAGAATCAGTGTTTGAACAAATCGGTTGATTGGATATTTTCTTTACAAAGAATTTTAAAATAAAAAATTTTTTTTTAAAAATGTGTCCCGCATTTTCATGTCACTACCGAAACATTGTATGTTTTAGTCCATTGGCTGAGACTGAAATGAACTACACCCCTACATTTATGATCAGGAAATATTTATGTGTCACTCTCTCTCATAGCTACAGGGTGAGTAGATAGACATCATCATTTTGAGATAATTGTGTTCAAAAATCTGAAAAATCTGTGTATATCTTTAAGGAATGTCACTACCGAACACCTTTTTTCTGCAATTAAGCACACTTTTTGGGGAGTTATTCCATATCATTTAATTTTGTATGTGTATACAACTGTTCAGAACTGTGCTAGCTAACCATGTGCTGATTAGCATCTTTGAGATAGGTTCAAAACTATCTAAAATTGTCACTACCGAAACAGTCACTACCAAAACATTTGGTGGAGTTTCGGTAGTGACATTTGTTATTATTAAGACATATTGACGTTTTTTTGGGGTGTTATCCCATAGAATTGTTGCTATACCGAAACAGTCACTACCGAAACATCATCATTGTTTCGGTAGTGACAAAAG